AAGATTTAGTGTTTAATGGGCAGAGATTTTCGGTTTGGGAATATGAAAAAGTTCTAGAGATGGATAGTGGTGATGGTCACATGACAACGTACAATGTACTTAATGTCACAGAACTGTACAGTTAAAAATGGTTAAAGCAGCATATTTTATGTTATGTCTATTTTACCACAATAAACAAGAAAGATTAAAAGCACTGGAATTACTGAATATAGGAAACCAGAAAGTAGCTTCTGGACATAAGAGAGCATTGCCTTGAGGATTCCTCAGGAAAACTGCTACGAGGGGTGGTCACACTGACAAGTTTAAACCTTGGCACTCTATAGGTATGACACATATATTTTGACCCACTCCTCCATATTCTTTTACTCTAGGGGTTCAGATCACAATGCTTAGCCCACTCTATGACACCTGCGCATTGCAAAACCCTAATTATCTACACAAGGTGTGAAGAAAGGAGGAGTGTCCCCAGCCAAACACTTGCACTGGGATCTGAACAGACTTTCAAATTTCAAAGAGGAATTTAGACAGGCACTCCAGAGAAAATATTAATAGTAGGCTGCTGACAGGGCTTCGTGCTATTCATATACACACTAGATTCAAGAATAATCATTAACCTTACTGCATTCTTTTGACCCTCCGGCTCCTCAGTCTTTGAAAACAAGGGATAGGCAACCTTTGATCTCAAATGAATCCATGTTTTCCCTAATAAAAATCACATAATAGTTGGCAAAGTACAAGAGCAAAGAATAAATAAGGTACACCAGTGTCAACTCCAAACGCATCGAACCATGACTTAATGAAACCAAAATGTACTAGAAGAAAACAAGGATGAATTTCTTTATAACTTTAGTTAAAGACCAGTAAACCAAAAAAGGAAAAGAAAAACAAACAAAAAAAACAACTAAAAACCTCCAGCAAACAAAATTTTGCATGGCAAAAACCATACTAAGTAAAACAAACACGAATGACAATTCGTAAAAATTACTAGTAACTTAGATCACAGAGAGGGCTAATCTCCCTAAGAGCTAAAAATTAAGAAAAAGACCAACAACCCAATAGCGAAATAGGCAAAAAGCATACACGGTGTCTCGCCTACCAAAGAAAGAAAAAAAATACATGAATAGTTCTTAGACAAACAGAGATGCTCAATCCAAATAAGCAAATTAAAACTACGATGAGAGAGCAATTCTTATCTGTTAGATTGGTAAAACCCCCAAAGTTGGACAATTCCTACTGGAGGTTGGGGGCAACATGAATTTTCCCACATTGTTTTAGGGAGTAAAAAGTGGTATAACCCCAATTTTCCAAGTTTATATTTGGGTGTAGTATCTACTGTTTGTTTCACACCTGCCTTTTAGGTGCACACTACACTTTAAGGTATATACAGGAAATTCAGAAATCACTAGAAGCCCACGCACCACAATGAACAGTAGCCCCCGCTCGGTGCAACTAGAGAAAGCCCATGTGCAGCAACAAAGACCCAACACAGCCAAAAAAAATTTTTTTAATATATATATTTATTAATTAATTAATTTTAAAAAAAGAATGGCTTCATTGAGGGAATCATAATACAGTCTCTAATCTGAAAGCCTCATATTTTATGACGGATCATTTCACATGCATCTACAGAGTCAACTATTATGCAATGTAAGATCTTAAAAAACAAATACAACAACAAAACAAAACATAGAAAGAGAAAGGGAATAAGAGAAAGGAATTTTAATTCAAAGAAAGAAGCATATATTCCATAGTAACACTTCAAATGCTAAAGTATTTCAGACTGGAAATACGTTCATAATCCTCCTGTTAGTATACATACTAACAACCAATGGGGAACAGAATAAGAAACTATTGGCAGCTAATAAAAATGATAAAAGTAGGTCATTTTAGTGATTTTTCAAAGATTTTTAATATCTCAGAATACCTATACTAGAGCTCTATATACTTTTCTCTTATTAATATCAGTGCATAGACTCGGACAAGCGGAAATTAAAAGTATGAATATATATCTTCCTTGGCTGAAAACAAACACACTGAATTTTTGTGTGTTTTTTTTGCTGCTCCTTCTCTCCCCACCCATCACCTTTCACCTTTTTTTTGTATTCTCAGGAGTTAGCATGGCTGGTCTACCGTCCATTTTTTTAAAATTAATTAATTAATTAATTAATGGCTGCATTAGGTCCTCATTGCTGCGCACGGGCTTTCTCTAGTTGCGGCTAGCGGGGGCTACTCTTCATTGTGGCGCGCAGGCTTCTCACTGTGGTGGCTTCTCTTGTTGCGGAGCACAGGCTCTAGGCGCATGGGCTTCAGTAGTTGTGGCTCGTGGGCTGTAGAGCGCAGGCTCAGTAGTTGTGGCACATGGGCTTAGTTGCTCAGTAGTTGTGGCACATGGGCTTAGGATCTTCCCGGACCAGGGCTCGAACCCGTGTCCCCAGCATTGGCAGGCAGATTCCTAACCACTGCGCCACCAGGGAAGCCCCTGACTGTTTTTATAAATAAAGTTTTGATGGAACACAGCCACATTCATTCATTTACATATTGTCTAGGACTGTTTTCATACTATAATGGCAGAATTAAGTTGTTGTGACAGAGACTGTATGGTCTGAAAAGTAAATACAAAAGTATTTATCATCTAGACCAGCAGTCTCCAACCTTTCTGGCACCAAGGACTGGTTTCATGGAATACAAATTTTTCCATGGACGGGCAGCGGGGAGATGGTTCAAGCAGTAATGTGAGCGATGGGGAGCAGCAGATGAAGCTTCGCTCGCTTGCCTGCAGCTCACTTCCTGCTGCGCGGCCCAGTTCCTAACATGCCGTACCAGTCCGCAGCCCGGGGGTTGGGGACCCCTGATCTAGACCATTACATTGTGGTCAGCAAACATAAGAAGTTTGCTGACCACCATGATAAATGACCATGGCATTCCTGATAAAATTAATTGCTACACATACACCTCACCAGACTTTCTGAAATAACTGAAAGGAGTTTAAAGACCAGCTTGAGCTGAACTTTCTCAATGATCATTCTTAACATTTATTTCACTAAAAAAAAAAACCTTTACAGTTCAGATGGTGATTTCTAGGTAACAATGTCCAGGTAGCAGTGCAAATGGTGCATCTAAAATAACTATTGTGAGGGAGTTCCCTGGTGGCCTAGTGGTTAGGATTCCGGGTTTTCACTGCCATGACCTGAGTTCAATCCTTGGTCAGAGAACTGAGATCCTGCAAAGCTGCGAGGCTGGCCCCAAAAAAACAAACCCCCAAACACAAAAAAACCACAAAACTGTCGTGAGCCATCACAAATAAAGTAGTAACATCTGCATGTAATTAAAATAGAATTGTTCTTTGTTGCTTAAAGTAGCATGTATACATCATTTTTTATTAATATTTTGACCTTAGCTATAATTTTAATATTTCATACTTAAATAATCAAATTTAAGAGCAATATTCTAGTTATCAATGACCTCTGTTAAACCAACAAAGAGATCCATGTTGTCGCTGTCTTGGCTTTCACCTCGGATAAGCCAAAATGCTAAAGCATGTCAAAAGATGTAGTATACACCTCGGCTACACAAGAATACCACTTCCTGGTGGACATACCCACTTAAGTGCCTCACAAACACCTCAAACAGCATGTTTTCTAACCAACCTACTTCTCTTTCTTCTACTCCCATCCTCCATTTGGTCACCAAAGCCATAATGTTGAAGTTACCTTAGTTTCTCCTTTCTCACATTAAATCAATCACTAAGTTCTGCTAGTTTACCTCTATATATTTTTCAACTTTGTCCTCTCCTTTTCAACCCTCCCATCACTGTAAGTTTAGAACATAGTGATTTTTTACTAGACTACTGTGATAATCTTCTGAGATTTCTGCATCTGGTCATATATCTACCCTTCAGAATGCAGCAAGTGTCAGAAAATGATTCCAGGAAGCCTGGAAACTTGGTTGCATTTAATATGCAACAGAAAAAGGTGGGAGACATCCAGATAGAAGGAACAGCATTCACAAAAAGTGAGTCTGGGTAAGTGGAACATGGAAACTGTCAGGCAAGTCAGAATGGCTGGAGTGTTGGATGAGGTGAGAGATGAGGTAAGGAAAGTATTAAGTGGTAAGATCATGAAGATCTTTGTGATCTTCAAACTATTATTCCATCTCCTATTGATTCCCACATGCCAGACAAATCAAAAAACCTGCTGCCACAGACAATATTCAGAGGAAGAAGAAGAAAAATAACTCTGAATCATTTATGTAACAATCATTGAAAGAATCATGTTCATACTTACTGCATGTGCCAACCTCCCCACTACAATGCCTGCTGAGTGGCAGTATGTTCAAAAACTGAATAATGCCTTGAAATATGAAGAGTTCTGGAGCCAGAGACTTTAATTAACCTCTCTTACTTTTTAAAGTCCCATCTCAAAAGCCACTTCATTCTTTCAACCTTTCTGCCTGAATCGTCTGCCACTAATTGAATGTTATGTCTCTCTTCCAGGCTCTCACAACCTTATATGTATCTCTTAGCTCTCACTCTTTTTCACTATGAATGTCTGACCATCATGTTGCTTGAATGTAAATTCTACAAGCCAGACTTTATCTCAACTGTGACTAACTTCAAGTCACCAAATTATTTGTTTATTTGTGTTTCTGAAGTGCCAAAAGGCACTGGTGTATAATAAAGAAGAAATGATAGTGGGAAGACAAAACCCACTCTTTACTTTCCTACCTTTAGATAGTTGCAATAAAGAAGAAACTTGAGAGCTCTAAAAATGGGATGTGGAAACCATGTTTGATTTTATGGCTACTTCCCATCCCTAAGGATCAGTAATCTAGACCTACATACATTTAAAACAGTTTTAGATGATACTCGAATTCTAACACAAGCAACTGAAAGATCTCAGTAGCAACAGGTAGACACTTCCAGTATTACAGAAGTAGACACTAATTTAGGGTGTGACAGCAAGGAAGGATATACATATTAAATAGTGGATGTTGTCACTTACCTGTCGAATTGACATGGTACAGAGAATATACAGGAAGATGAAGGAACAGTCTGTGGTATCGTCCCCCAGCAGATTTCGATGAGACAGTCCTTGGATGTAGGAAAGGGGGGTGAAAGGGAGCTTTGCCACCACTCTACCATCAAATCTAAAAAGGAAAAAACAAAGAACTGTTATTTTTGGAAGACTGACAAGCTTCTTAGTTCCAGAGAAGAATCTGGGACAGAAATAGAACTCTAAGTCCCTTGATCTCTAAAAAACAAAGAAAGGATGATATTCTAAAAAGAGACTTGAAATATAAGGATGTAAGGAAGGGCGCCTAGATTTTTCCCATCAATCTTTTTCTAAACTAGTGATTCTTAATTTTTTCAGTATCAGGATCCTTTAACACTCTGAAAAATTATTGAGGACCCTAAAGAGGTTTTATTTAGAGGTTATATCTATGAATATTACTGTTTTATAAATTAAAACAGAAAATTTAAACCATTTATCAAATCATTTAAAAGGTAGCAATATTCAGTATGTTAACACAAATATTTTTATGGAAAATATATGTTCCATACAGAAAAAGAACTGAGTGAGAAGAAAGGCTTTTTTCCCCCCAATCTCTTTAATGTTTTATTTAATAGAAAAATGTTGGATTCTCATAGCTGCTTCATTACTCAGGCTGTTGCAATATTACACACCCTATGAAGCCTCTGGAAAATTCCACTGTACATTCATGAGAGAAGGAGAGTGAAGAAGGCAAATAACATCTTAGAATTATTACAACAATAATTTTCACCTCAAGGACCTCCTAAAAGTCTCAGAGACCTCCAGGGATCCCCAGACCACACTTTGAGAACCACGGTTCTAAACCATGACACCAATAAGATTTTAAGAACCCTCTTTTCCAAGACTCAAAGATTCCCAGTATATACACATTAAACAGGATAAACACTTCTGGAGAGAAATTCATGGAATATACATAGTGGTGAATGAAAAATGGCATACATAATACTCTGAGATAACTTTTAACATACTTCTAATGTTTGAAAGTAATTCCTTTTACTTTTTCTAAAATAGAAAAATGTTTTGAAAAGAGAAAATCTTAGAAAAAAACTAGAAGAAAATATGTATCAGTGTTTATTTTGAGATGCTGGGGATATAAACTTCTTTTACACTTTTCTATGAATAAGCTGTACAGTCAGCCAATATTGAGAATTATAAATTAATGTGATTAAGGACAGTGATACTTCATAATATTAGAAAAATATATGACAGTATCAGTTACTTTATCCAAATAAAGTCTTTAACTCCAGTTAAAATATCTAGAACATTCCCTCTTAGAAAAACATTTGGTATTTAGAATGTTTCTATAGAGGGAGAGGGAAAAGAGAGGTAGTATTACCATCTTTTTCGCTGGGGAAAAAAATACCTAAATATCCATATTAACTATTGTGGTTATAAAGAGCTTCTTATACAGCTGAACTCCAAAGAATATAAATAGAATGAATTTGACATATTCTGTACATATGTATGATTGTCCACTTACTATGCCCAACCGCTTTCCTAGTATATAGTTTGCACAGGGTAAGGGTTCTATCATGAACTGTTGTTACTTGGATATGACGAAAATATTTAAAGATCTGCTTGAAGTAGTTATTCTTATCTACTAACCTCACAAAAGCAAAACAAAGTATTGTAATAACTTTTCCAGGAGGAGGTATTCCCATTCACTCACAGGAAGTATTATACACAGTTGTTCCAATATTTCCTGGTTATATGCTATATGCAGTATACTGTTCTACATATGCCACTCTACTCTCCATCTGTAGAGTTAAACTGTGAGGAGTAGGGCTGGAATAAATATAGCCCAAAATGTTTACCCCTCTTGCTGCTAACATACAAACCCAACAAATTCATCTTATACAGTCATTTTTTTTATTCCTTGACATTTTTGACTTGAAATTGTAACCAAAAAGAAAATCTTTTACAACTAATAAATGAATTCAGCAAAGTTTCAGGATGGAAATCAACATACAAAAATCAGTTGCATTTCTATACACCAACAATGAACTATATGAAAAAAAGAATAAAACAATCCCATCTACATCAAAAACAATAAAATACTTAGGAATAAATTTAATCAAGGAGGTGAAAGATACATACACTGAAAACTATAAGACATTGATAAAGGAACTGAAGAAGACACAAATATATGGAAAGATATCCATGTTTATAGACTGGAAGAGTTAATACTGTTAAAATGTCCATACTATCCAAAGTCATCTACAGGGCTTCCCTGGTGGCACAATGGTTACGAATCCACCTGCCAATGCAGGGGACACAGGTACAAGCCCTGGTCCGGGAAGATCCCACATGCCATGGAGCAACTAAGCCCGTGTGCCACAACTACTGAGCCTGTGCTCTAGAGCCAACGAGCCACAACTACTGAGCCTGCATGCCACAACTACTGAGGCCCGCATGCCTAGAGCCAACGAGAGAAGCCACCACAATGAGAAGCCTGTGCATCGCAATGAAGAGTAGCCCCCGCTCCTTGCAACTGGAGGAAGCCCGTGCGCAGGAACGAAGACCCAATGCAGCCAAAAATAAATAAATAAAATAAATAGATTTATTAAAAACAACAACAACAAAGTCATCTATAGACCCAATACAATCTCTAATCAAAACTCTACTTTTCACAAAAATAGAAACATCCATACTAAAACTCATATGGAACCACAAAAGATCTTGAATAGGCAAGGCAATCTTGAGAAAGCTGGAGGCATCAAACTTCCTGATTTCAAACTATGTTACAAAGCTATAGTAATCAAACTAATATATTACTGGCACAAAAAGAGACATGCAGACCAACAGAATAGAATAGAGAGCCCAGAAATAAATCCAGTCAACTAATATCTGACAAGAGCCAGAAATGCTCAGTGGAGAAAAGGACAGTCTCTTCAATAAATGGTGCTGGGTAAACTGGATACTCACATGCAAAAGAATTACACTGGACCCCTATCATACACTACTCACAAAAATTAACTCAAAATGGATTAAGGACTTAAACATGATACCTGAAACTGTAAAACTTCTAGAAGAAAAACATAGGGAAAAAAGCTCCTTGACATTGGTCTTGGCAATGATTTTTTTGGATATGACACCAAAAGCACAAGCAACAAAAATCAACAAATGTGACTACATCAAACTAAAAAGCTTCTGCACAGCAAAAGAAACAAAATGAAAAGGCAAACTATGAAATGGGAGAAAATATTTGCAGACTATATAACTGATAAGGGGTTAACATCCAAAATATATAAGGAATTTGTACAACTCAATAGCAAAACAAAAAACACCAAATAATCCAATTAAAAAGTGGGCAGAGGATCTGAATAGATATTTTTCCAAACAAGACAAACAAATGGACAAGAAGTACATGAAAAGGTGGTCAACATTATTAACCATCAGGGAAATACAAATCAAAACCACAATGAGATTTCACCTCATGTCTGTTAGAATGACTATTATCAAAAGGACAAGAGATAACAAATGCTGGCAAGGATGTGGAGAAAAGGGAACCCCTGGGCACTATTGCTGGGAATGTAAATTGGTACAGCTACTATGAAAAACAATATGGATGTTCCTCAAAAAATTAAAAGTAGAACTACCATATGATCCAGAAATCCCATTTCTAGCTATTTAGCCAAAGGAATTGAAATAAACTACTGTCTCAGAGAGATCTGTACTCCCATGTCATTGCAGTATTATTCATAATAACCAAGATACGGAAACAACCTAAGTGTCCACCGACAGATGAACGGATAAAGAAAATGTGATATATATACTGTATACAAGTCTGACAGAGAAAGACAAATACTGTATGACATCACTTATATGTGGAATCTAAAACAGCTGAACTCATGGAAACAAAATTAGATTGGTGGTTGCCAGAGGATGGGGGTTGAGGGAAATGGGGAGATGCTGGTCAAAGGGTACAAACTTCCAGTTTTAAGATGAATAAGCTCTGGGCTTCTAATGTACAGCACAGTAATTATAGTTAATACTGTATTATATGCTTGAAAGCTAAGAGAGTAAGTCTTAATTGTTCTCACCGCCAACACAACAAAATGATATTTATGTGAGATGAAGGATTTGCTAACTGACCTTATTGTGGTAATCATTTTGCAATATGTATGTGTATCAAATTATCACTCTGTACACCTTAAATGTACACAATGTTCTATATTATATGTCATTATATATCTCAGTAAAGCTGGAAAAAAGCTTTAAAAGAAAAAGGAGAGAGAAAACCTTTCATGTCCTATAAGTGAGTTATTCATTTATGTGAAACTGAACATTTAGTACAAATGAGACCTTAAACGAGCCACAAATATGAAGGAAAAAACCCCTTCAAATTAATTTTTCCAGGAGATTAGAGGCTTTCCATAGGAATAGCTAAGAATAGACACCATTACTAGTCTGTAGCCTAATAATTTAAAGAGTTAGGGAGAGAAAGAAAAAGGTGCAAAGAGAGAGATAGCTTATAGGTAGATTATTTCTTTAAGTGAACTTACTCTCTGCAGTTCCAGAGGGCAGGACCACTGCTCATGAACAGAACAAGCAGGCATATTTTGGTCCAGTAAAAGGAACCACTTCCAAACCCTAAATACTACTCGGTAAAACTATATTATCTCAGAAAACATCAAGCTCCTCATTGTTGAAAATGATTAAAAATAATGGAAAATTATCTGCTAGAGGTATTATTGGAGAGATTTCCATATTGACACAGAAGTAATGTGTTAAAATGACTTTTAAGATCACTTCTAAGATTTAATGTTTCAGCTTTATGGAAATGATCCAGAAGAGAAGCCAAAGACAAATAAATAGCTGAATTTGGTGTCTCTTGTTGCTACTCTGGCAATCTGGAGCTCAAGTCCTTCCCATCTTAGTCTAACTTGAGGCTTTTTTCTTATCAACAATTGTAAGACTAAAATGGATATTAGAGATAATGTATTCCATTCTATAATAAACAGATGATCAAGGTGAAACTAAGAGAAATTATGCGAAAAATGAATAGTGATTGTTCAATACAATCAAAATATGTACTAGACTGTAATAACTGACACCCACATTACTTTTGTTTAGAACTGCTAAGGGATGGTGGGCTTTTTTTCTTTACTTTTTTTCCTTTTTTTCCCATTTAAATTTAAAATCCATCCATACAAATATGATTAAATTTTGATTAAATTATTATTTGCTAATATTTTTAATGAAAAGAAAAAGAAAGGGGTGCATTCAGTTTCAATCCCAGCTATTGTCTGGACTGTCATGTCACATGAACAATGACGTTTTATCTGAGGATATGAAGATAGCATTGAATCTTATAGATTGGATATTCTGAACATCAGATCTGAAATGTCTGCTTTTCAATATATATGAAATAAAACTTGGAATTTGCTCACCAAAAAAAAAAATGTACTAGACTTTTAATGTCACATACCAGCTTATAAAAATAGAGATACATTCTTTAACTTCTAGGTGCTCACAGTCCTAGACATAAGAAATATATATACATACATACATATATATATATATATATATTTTTTTTTTTTAAATTTCTGGTCTGAGCACAAAGACCAGAAAAAAAACATGAATACCATTCAGCAACCATGCTCCTTGGTATCTATCCAAAGGAGTTAAAAACATGTTCACAAAAAAACCTGCACACAGATGTTTATGGAAGCATTATTCATAATTGCCAACTGATGAACCTGCAATGGTACCTCATCATCACCCAAAGTCCACAGTTTACATTAGGGTTCACTCTTGGGTTTTAATAAATGTATAGCAACATGTATCACCATTAAGTATCACACAGAATAGTTTTACACTAAAAATCCTCTGTGCTCTGCTTATTCATCCCTCCCTCACACCTAATCCCTGGCAACCACTGACCTTTTTACTGTCTCCAGAGCTTTGCCCTTTCTAGAATGTCATATAGTTGTAATCATATAGTACGTAGCCTTTTCAGGTTGATTTCTTTCACTTAGTAATATGCATTTAAGGTTTCTCCAAGTCTTTGCATGGCCAATAGCCCATTTCTTTTTAGCAATGAATAACACTCCACTGTCTGGATGTTCCACAGTTTATCCATTTACCAACTGAAGAACATCTTGGTTGCTTCCAAGTTTTGGCAATTATCAAGCTGCAATAAACATCTGTGTGCAGGTTTCTGTGTGGACATAAGTTTTCAACTCATTTGGTTTCACTTTCACTTTTTATTCTACATTATACTGTTTGAATTTTTTAGAAGTACTTGTGTACTACTAGTATAAGAAACTCTTTTTCTTTTTAAACTTTGGTTCTGATGCGCACTCCTGGTTAAGATCTACTACATAGGGCTTCCCTGGTGGCGCAATGGTTGAGAGTCCGCCTGCCAATGCAGGGGACACGGGTTCGTGCCCCGGTCCGTTAAGATCCCACATGCCGCGGAGCGGCTGGGCCTGTGAGTCATGGCCTCTCAGCCTGTGCATCAGGAGCCTGTGCTCCGCAACGGGAGAGGACACAACAGTGAGAGGCCCGCGTACAGCAAAAAAAAAAAAAAAAAAAAAGATCTACTACATAAGCTTTGGGAAGCTACCTGATATATCATAAACCAGTCATTTCAAATCATCAGGGAAAATATATTATTTGTTCCCTACCTGGTATTAACAATAGCTAAGTACTTGGTAAAGTTGGAAACTAACCACCAAAAAAAATTACAGATGAAACAAAATTTAAATATAAAAAATAAAAAGTAGAAACAAATTTATATAATCTGGTATGAGAAAGGCACTATTTATATAACAGAAAAGAGTAACAGATTTGACATAAAAATTAACATTGCCCATATATCTCAAAAAGAGAGCTTAATAGTCTCAATATATAAAAAAATCTTATAAAAAGAAAATAAGGGAAAGAACATGAACTAGAAATTTAGAAATAGATAAACATAATAAGTATATGAAAAGATGCTACATCTCACAAGAAATGCAAATTTTAAAAGAAATATTATTTTTAGCTATTAGATTTGCAAATATTAAACAGATACATAATTCCCAGTGATGACAAATATATGAAGAAAGAACCACTCATAAGTACTGAGGGCAATAATCGAAAAATATAAATTAATAAAAACCTTTCTATGGGAATTCCCTGACAGTCCAGTGTTTAAGACTCCGCGCTTCCACCGCACGGGGTCGCGGGTTCAATCCCTGGTGGGGGAAACTAAGATCCCGCATGCTGTGCGGCAAGGCCAAAAAGAAAAATTTCACCTAAGCAATACTTCTAGGATATGCCTGAGGAAAAAATAAGTATACACTGGTGTACATACTACCTGTGAAAATTCTGTGTGAAGATTAATAGAAGATTATATAAGTTAGGGTACATCCATTCAATGGAATACTGACAGACATTAAAAATGATTATGCAAGATGGGACTTCCCTGGTGGTACAGTGGTTAAGACTCTGCCCTCCCAATGCAGGGGGTCCGGGTTTGATCCCTGGTCAGGGAACTAGATCCCATATGCATGCTGCAACTAAGAGTTCACATGCCACAACCAAGGAGCCCATGAGCCACAACTAAGACCTGGTGCCACCAAATAAATAAATAAATAATTTAAAAAATCCTAGCCTGCATGCAGCAATGAAGACCCAACGCAGCCAAAAAAATAAAAAGAAAAAGAAAAAATTTTAAAAAAATTTTAAAAAATCCTCTAAAAATGATTATGCAAGAGTTACACATACTGCATTTAAAAAATTATCACAGGTAACTACAGCAGGTTACAAAACAACCATTTTGGGGTATAAAAATTAATACATACAAATATCTAAATGTTTGTATATGGAGAGAAGTACAAATCTTGAAAGGACACGTACTCATTTGAGGAAGGCAGAGTGATCTTTACTTTATATTTTATACATTTATATATTATTGGAATTTTTCCAGTAAGAATTTATTACTTCAATGATTACAGAAAGAAATGTAATAAAAGGTTATACCTGAGGGGAAAAATATGGCATTGGGAGAAAAATATATTTGAATCAGATGCCCTTCCCATAGAGCAGCCGTTCATACCACGATATGTTCACAAATAACATTAAGAAAGGGAACCACATGAATATAAGGCAGCATTACCACTGGTAGAAATGGCCACCATTCTTTCTTCCTTTTCTTTTTTTAAAAATTCAGGTATACGTAAGTTTTACAATATTAAATAAGTTCCTGGAGTACAACATTGTGATTCGCAGTTTTTAAAGATTATACTCCATTTAGAGTTATTATAAAATATTGGCTATATTCCCCACAGTTCTTTCTTAATCAGCCTATTTCATTAGAACCCACCTGTACATAAGACTAAGGAATAAAATCAAATGCTGAACTTCAAGCAAAGCAGTGATTCAAATTTATTGTAGGTATCACACAATAAAGCCAAGACCAGTAAGAACAGCTCTACATACATACACCACTAACCTATAAAAATATTATTTTAAAAATCAGAAGTATGAGAAAAATAAGATGTTAGGCATTAAATTTTTAAAATATAGATGAGTACTTAGCTAGCTCTATACTGTCCAGAATGTGACAAATTAAAGAATATTTGAGTATTTGAGTTGTACCAATGAAGTTTACTAGTTAACTACAAAATCTTTCAGTGTTTGGTTTGCCTGGTAATCCACGGTGATATATACCCAAGAAATGAGAGAAAGCATAGCAGTGAAAAAAGGATACTGAGTTTAGAGTTATAAGTTAGAAATTATGAGACTTCTAGAGACCTTGGGCAAGTTATTTAATCTTCCAAAGGTCCTTTTCAGCAGTAAAGGTCTATGATTTTAGTAATCACTAGTTAAGTGGAAATTTTGTATTAAAATCATTTTGGACATTCCCTTTGGTGCCTCACCTAAGTAAAAATAACCACTCCCCTTTTTCCCCCCTACTATATTTCACACACACACACATCTATTGTAACATCCATCAATGTATTGATTTGTTTGTCCTTTCTTTCTATAAAATTTTGATATTACTGAGGGCAGGGAACACATCTTATTTGTTATATTCTGATACCTAGCACAATGCCTGGCACAAAGTAGGCCCTTGACAGGTGGGAAGAGAAGAACAACTGGAGGTGGGGTGGGGTGTGGGTACAAGGAGAGAGAGACAGACAGGTAGAAATGAAGCAGGGGAGGAAGAGTAGGAGAAAGGGAAGGAAAAGAGTGAGTGAGGAAAATGCGTGGGATAGTTCAGGAGAGCTCTGAAAGTTAAGAAATGACAGCTTGTCATCTCTGGATATTTTCCCAGGTTCTGTCAAAAGCAGTCCCACAATTACTCAGGCCTGCTATATGCTAGTTTAGACAACAGTAACCTACCTTATTATTAAACAAGATTATAGTTGTTAAGACTCTATTTTAAGAGTCAAAACATCTCTGTACGAGTACCTTCATTCTGAAGAAGTTTGTTAGTAAGGAACTTAAAAACCCAGGAGACATATTAAATTCTTTTTAGAGGACCCATAAAACCTTAGTCTTTGCCTTACATATAAGATATCTTCAATATTAAGAGGGTGAAAAGTTATCATATAATTGTATTCCATCAAAATTAAATTTCCCTTGATTTTGATAACTGGATTGAGGTTAAGTAAGAGAATGTCCACGTTCTTAGGAAATACACACTTTAGTATTTATGGGTAAAGGGGCATGAAGCCTACAACAAACTCTTGAATGATTCAGAAAAAATATACAAATAATGTATGAATGAGTACATATATGATATGGAGAAACAGAGAAAAAAGGAAAGCAAATGAGGCAAAATGTTAACAATTGTGAATCTGGTTAATCAATGTACTATTCTTGTAACTCTTCTGTAAATTTGAAATATCAACATATTACCAAAAAAGCTAATTGTTCACATATACACACACATAGAGCAATATTTAGATAAAACCATATAAAAGGCTACTCACATAGAATTAAACATTCCCATTAGGGCAGTAAAACAAAAGCCAATTGCAAACATGGATTTCATTCGAACCTGGAAGGAAACCAACGAATTGTTATTTTACACTAGAGAAAAACCACCACTAAAGCACACTCCAAAAGTTTTGGTTTACATCATTTTTAAAAGATGCTCCTTGGCAAAAAGCTGTTTATTGGCTAACCCACCCTCCACCTCCAAGGCCTCTTCTCCTTGCCAGCTTCTGATGAATAGTATTGGGGTGGTCATATGACCCAACTCTGGCCAATGAGATGTAAGTACCAACCAGAACTTTTAAAAGGGACAAACTTGGCTAGCATCCCTTTAGGCCTTTTGCCCATACTTCTTGCCTGGAATGAAGAACATAATGCCTGACAGTAAAGCACCATCAAACAACCAAACAACCATAAGCTAAGGAAGGTTAACCTGAGTCCTCAGTGACATTACTGTGCTGCCACAGCAGCCCAGGACTACCAACCTCTGTACCTCTTGAGCAAGTGAAAAAAATTTTATATGTTTAAGCCATTATTAAGCATTTTGTTTCTTGCAGCTAACTTCTTTCTTAATTACATGTGCCATAAAAGTATAAACAAATAAAAGATCATAAAGATATAACATTAACAGTTTATCAGCAATTTTTATCTCTTCTTTCTGCAGTTTCCAAATTTGGTCTCACGAACATGTAATAATTGCAACAACAGAAAAGCTATTTTCAAAAAAAATGCACTTCTAAATTATGATCTTTCTTAATAAGAATTTCAAGAAACAGAAGATAAAATAATACAGCAAAAGGTCTCTTGGTAAGCAAAAGACAACTGTTGCGCAGTTTAGATGTCCTGTGTTGAATATACAGAAATTAAGTAGAAAAATAAGTCAAGCCATATAATCAGCCTACCTACACCTCAGAAAGACATGCTTGAACTCTACTCTTTATAAATAATGAGTAAATGGCTAATAAAATCACTTTTCCGTACACTTTATGATATGCCTGACCCTCAGATCAAAAGGCCTCTTAAAGAATAAAGGCCACAATAAAGGCCATCTATGATGCTCCAACTCCTATTTGGGATTACCAGGTCACCATAAAGCCGAAGATTCAGCAATAACATGAGGAAGAAAAAGAAAATAAGCTACTTCATTTGAAAATGTAAGGGGGAAGCTAATAAAAACTGTGTGAAAGGGACAAATTATGACTTCGAGAGAGCCTTAAAAAAAAGCTATTCATATTACTAACACGAAGCTTCAGTCCAGTAGCATATTTTCACTTCTATTTGGTCCAGGAACAACCATGATATTATTTATAGCCTGCATAACTATAAATTTCTGAAAAGGTAAGTGCAGTGTACTTGATGAAAATCAGGGTCTTTTGCTGAAAAACATGTGGTTTATCATGAAGTTATATTTAGGACTCTTACCATTGATAGATCTCTGTTATTATTCTTCAGTTTCTCTTCTTGACGCTCTGCAAAGAATTAATGAACCGGTTAATATACACAGCGCTGAGCGCAAAGCAGATGTTAAACTGTCACTGCCTGATGACTATAATAGCACTTCTGTCTCAGTATCAATTAATAAGATAAGCTGAATACATGGAATACTGTATACTTTGTACTAACAGAAAATTCAAATGCAGCAGGGCACCAAAATAGTTCAAATTAAATAAATAAAAATATTTAAAGTTTAATTTAAACTTTAAGTGTCTGGACTCTGTACATTAAGATATACTCTTACATTACATCAAAAGGAAGTAAAACCATAATGTCTGTACTTAGGTTTCAAGTATTAATTACCCATCTGTTATGATTTTCTTCCCCCTCTTTCAGTTTCTTTAAGAGAGCATGGAGTCTAAAAATTAAAAGCCAATTAAGATGAATTTAAGATTCAGGTTCTTTCATATTACAGTCAAATCAATCTAAAAATAAGCATAGTTTCATAGTTAAGTCACTTGGAAAGCTAGGAAATTTGACATATATTTCAAGAAAATTGTTATATACACAGAACCTAAACCGCTAAAGAAGTCTCAGTTGTACATTAATGACCTTATTTACTGTATTCCATCAACGTAAGGGACTTTATTATACTTATGAAGAAACTGAGGCCCAGCAAAGGAGAAGTGACTTCTCAGAGACCACACAGGTATTTTATGCCAAAGCCAGGACGAGAATCCAAGTTTCCCAACTCCCAACCCAATGATCTCTATATATACTATGCTACTGCTTTCTTTGATTATGCATTTTTATCACCAGGATCAATTCACTCAACAAGTACTTATTGATTACCTACTAAATGCTGAGCACTTTTCTGAGCACTAGGGATAAATGAATGAACAAAACACACACAAATCCTCACCCTCACAGGAAGATTTTGAAATTAAAATATAATACCCTCTAAAATAAAAAATATACAATCAGAATATATGAAACTGGTGTGAGGGCTGCAAGTTCAGGCAGTTAAAGGAAAGGAAGGAAGAACAGGCCTATAGGAACCACAGACTGGAGTGTAGTTTCCAAACAATGTACGGTGAGACGAATATATGCTTCCTTGTCCTAAATCGTTCCTATCCAGTTTTCCCTGGGAGGAAAGGATACAGGCAGGAGAAAGTGGGGATTATGAAGATATATGGAAGAAAATGAAAAAAATGGGGTGGAACTAAGGTGTATCTCGGGGGCTAGAGCTCTTTTTCTACCTGAGCAGCCCTCTTAAAATGTAATAAGACTGTTTAAAATTGGGTGTTTGAAGATTGGGATGACTAGAAGGTAAACAGGCATAAAACCAAGTAGAGGGGGAAAAGGACTACCACTGAGACATGAAAAGAAAGGTATAGAAAAGCATCTATGCTAGAAACCTTGGCACATCCTTGACTCCCTACTCTATCTTCAATCAAACACCAAGTCCTATTAATTATACCTCATAAATACTTATGAAATCTACCTCTTCCCCTCCTCCTTACTATACTTCCTTAGTTAGGATTTCTAACATCTCTTACCTATATTACTTTCAAGTCTCCTAACAGATCTGCCTCCAAACTTGTTCCCTCAAATCCATCTTCTACATAAATGCAGTCAGATCTACTTAAAAGGCAAAACTGAACAAAATCTTGATACTCCCCAGCTTAAAATCCTTCCATGGCTTCTCATCCCTACAAGATCATGTTTCTTTTTTTTTGGCCACGCCACGCAGCATGTGGGATCTTAGTTCCCCCATGAGGGATCGGACGCACCCCCTGCAGTGGAAGCGTGGAGCCTTAACTACAGAACTGCCAGGGAAGTCCCAAGATCATGTTTCACTATCACCTGCAAGTCCTGCATCTGGCCCCTGCTTACTTCTGCAGCCACACTTCCAACCATTCCCATTAATTTTTATGTTCTTACAATACCAAACAACTTTAAGTTCCTGTATATATGATGCTTTTCTCTTGATTCAGTGTGTTTGTTCATAAAGTCTCTTCTACCTTGGGTGACCAAGTGTCCCAGTTTTCCTTGGACTGTTCCAGTTTTAGCTCTGAAAATCTCACATCCCAACGAACTCCTCGGACTAGACAAATTGGGATGGTTGGCTACCCTACTTCCACCGAGACTGTTTTATCCTACCCCATCAAACCCTTTCCTGGCTAGCCTGTACTCAACTTTTAAGCCTCAGCTCTTGTGTCACCTCCTTTTGAAAATCTTGATTCCTTAAACAATACTATTCTAAAAAGCTTTCTACAATTATGGAAATATCCTACATCTGTGCTGTCAATACAGTAGTCACTAGCTAGATGTAGCTACTGAGCAATGAAATGTGACCAGTATGATTGAGGAACTAAAATTTCAACTTCATTTATTAATAATTTTAATTAATTTAAAATCTGAACAGTCAAATGTAGCTACAGGCTGCTGTACTGGACAATGCAGTCTTAGACAATGGATTAGAAGTCCTTTCTTTATGCTTCCAGAATATTCCAAGTACATCTCTATCATTATACTCACCGAGTTTATACATTTTGTTATAATGATCTGTTTATGTACTTAACAATGCAACTAGATGGCAGGCTCCTAGAGAACGAGGACTTCTTCATCTTTGTATCCTCAGTAATTGGCAAGTAGTTAGTTGTTCAGTATTGTAGTATATGCTCAATATTGCTTAATGAATCAGCAATATAATAAAAGCTGATCTGAAGATACCCTACACCAAAAATCCCTTTTCTGGGACAGGAGTCTTTGATAAAGCTGGTAGGCTGAAGAGGCACTTATAGCCTGAAAGGCTGAGAGGACACTAAAGTGACACAGTTTTTATGAAGTTCTATTCCACTTTTTTCAATTATGCCCAAACAGAAGCTCTAACCATATGTAGTGTCAAGGTAGACTGTATGTATACATGGCTTAAGAAGAATATAGCAGTACAGGTTTATGATATATCCCAACACTGCTGTGCTTGGTTCCTGAAGACTTTTCAACTCAAATTGTTTTTAGGTGCCCACCATATACAAATAAAGTAGGTTTTGTTGGTTTCAAATAATTCAGAAATAAGTTAACATTCGTCTGGTTTTGGAGGGGATAAAAGAAACAGAGACAAGTTTCTTATGACCTTGATGTGCTCAGTTGGTAGGAAATGCTAAGATGCCTCAAGAAACATAAACACTACAAGCACTATAACATTTAAAGTCCTAGACAATGAAAGAGTTTTCAGAAATCCAGAAATGCCCATGTGGGAAACAGCAAACCTTATCTAATAGAAACGTTACCAATAGGGAAGCAATTTCAGGTACTCCCCAAGTTACGAACAATAAATTTGTAAATATCTCCAAAAAGCCACAGTTAGGTTTATATACCTCCCCTCTCCCCAGTAACCCCAATGCCTAATCTAAAGTTTTTCCATTTTCAGTTTTCTCCATTCCCAGCTCAGTTAATTGTATCTCAGATCCTCCTAATCTCTCTCTCTCTCTCTCTCAATACCCACGTTCTCTTTTACCCTCTTTATTTTCTTTCCGGTCTTAGAAAAGTATTAAACTCCTTCTCTATCTCTCTTCCATTATGACTACCAAACCCTGACTCTAACAAAACTGCTAGGCAAAGATTTATTCTATTCATTCTCATTATTTTAAAATGTAAGATTCAAGTTTTACAAGGATATTCGGTTAGACACAATGAGAAATGAAACATTCAAGTCCTTAAAAGTACTTAAAACATCCTTTTAGAGTTTCTATCTCTCATACTGTAATCAAATCTACTTTTCTTTAAGCCTCAATGATTTAAGTAAATTTTAAATGTTATTTCCTAACCAATTTTGCTTTTAATTACCAGCAATACAAAAGAGGAACAAAACCAACTATTGTCCCTAAAAATAAAGTTTTACATTACATTATGGGTTACATAAGCTTATGAAGACAGGTCTGTCAATATAACCACCATGTAATACATGGTTTTATAAGAATAATCCAACTTCTAATAAACTGTATTGAAAAAAGTATCTTTTTTTAAACAACCTGCTTTTCCCTTATCAAGAAACTTTGTTTCCTCAAGTGAATAATTTCTGGGAAAGTCACATTAGTAAGTAAAAATAAGTGCAAACAATTTATTTTGAAATGATGATTTATATTGTTTATTAGCAGCAATCAAATATTTGAGCATATTGCTTCATGTAATTATGAGAACAGTTTTGGCTGAGATGATGCAATAAAAGCTAGCTAGTTAACTCTTAACTTCTAGTACCCCAAATAGTTAAGAGTATACTGAAATAAGTAAAAGTGATTGACTGGTTCTCTATTGCTCTGTGTGTAACTTAGCCCTTAACTGTTGTCAGTTAACTAGCATAACTCCTCTCAAAAAGTTGTTTCTTGGCCCCAATAAGGTAGGGAAGTCACTGTCTCAGTCTAATGTTATTTTAAGCTTGGTGGTGTGTTACTTAAAAGAAGTATAGCTAGGGCTTCCCTGGTGGCGCAATAGTTGAGAGTCCACCTGCCAATGCAGGGGACATGGGTTCGTGCCCCGGTCCAGGAAGATCCCACATGCCGAGGAGTGGCTAGGCCCGTGAGCCATGGGCGCTGAGCCTGCGCGTCCGGAGCCTGTGCCCCGCAACGGGAGAGGCCACAACAGTGAGAGGCCCGCGTACCGCAAAAAAAAAAAAAAAAAAAAAAAAGTATAGCTAGTGAACCTCCTCCTAAGGTTCACTCACCCTTAGTTTTCTCCTTTGAGAAAACTCAACATCTAAAAGCCCAAGGCTTCCAAGATGGTTGTACTTCCCAACCCACCTTTCAACTGTTATGTTGACATAAGAAGGGAGAAAACTATGTCTAAAACCTTCTACACCTCCCCTGAAGATCTAAAATTTAAAGGTTCCAAGCCGAGTGCTGGAAATAAATATTCTATGTCATTCAGTGTTCACTTGTCCTGTGTGAACTATTCTTTATGCCATTCAGAACCTCAGGATTTAATACAGAGGAGAATCATACCTCAATTCCTCCATTTGAAAGGAATTCTATACACCCTTTTACTACGGAACTTTTGGAATACACCCTCTATGAAATTTGAGGAAATTTCATAGAGAGAAAAAACTGGAAGTATAAAGGAGATATATTTATATTCTAGGATGATTTATTATCCAAGATGATAGACAAAAGGAAACATTAAAATTCTAAAAGGGAATACTCCAATTAAAAAGAATCTACATTTCTTGTAGCTATTGGAATACACTAGTAGCAACGATGACATCCATTCTGACCAAAGAATGAACAAACTCAAGCCAATCTATCACACATTTTTATTTGACAGCATTAGACTTTGTACAATAAGATAATATAATTTAACTAAGAAAGGAACACGTCATCATTTACCTTAGTTAATAACCAGTGACGGGTCTTCCCTGGTGGCACAGTGGTTAAGAATCTGCCTGCCAATGCAGGGGACATGGGTTTGAGCCCTGATCCAGGAAGATCCCACATGACGCAGAGCAACTAATCCCGGGCGCCACAACTACTGAGCCTGCACTCTAAAGCCCGCAAGCCACAACTACTGAGCAGATGTGCCACAACTACTGAAGCCTGCGCACCTAGAGCCCGTGCTCCACAACAGGAGAAGCCACCGCAATGAGAAGCCCACGCACTGCAACGAAGAGTAGCCCCTGCTTGCCACAACTAGAGAAAGCCCACGCACAGCAACAAAGATCCAATGCAGCCAAAAAAATAAAAAAAATAAAAAATAAATAAGCAGTGACTTTTCTGTCAAAGAATATAAATCAATTAAAGTACTCACGGGGCAACTGAGTAGTCTGATCAAACCGACAGTTTGGGGAAAGGGGAACATTTTCAAATAAGGAAGAGATGATCAAAATAGCAGATGCTTCTCTATAGATTAAAAGAGTTAGGTATGCCATGACATTTCTATATTCTGAGTTGTCTTGAATGGAAGACCAATTAATAACATGCCTTTAAAATTTCATGTAGATTGGGAGAAGCAAAATTTAAATGAAATGCCTGATACAGCCTTCTTTTATAGAAAATCCAAATAGCATAGATAAACATCTAGAATAAATATATTAATTCAGGGCCCCAAATAAATTTCAAAAATGTCCTCGCATATTTCCAAGTCACCAAGAAAGGAGATACACACCCCATTCAGCAAAGCTTCAGAATGCCTGCTCTCCCTTCTCCGGCCACCTTCTGGGGAATATCTCCCTCTCATCATAGTCTCTGTTGAGGTTCAACCTTATGAAGATTCCTAATATCCCCTGCCCTGCCACTACTGACCAAAAAGGAGGCCAATCCATAGGCTTACCCATGACCTACGGCATAAAAAGATGAGCTGAGCTAGTTGGATTCCTTCTTGCAGGAATTTAAACCGGAAAATATTGGGAAAGTAAACCATTTAACTGTGGGAGCAGAAACAGCAAAATAGTAAGGTAGAACTGGCTCTTGAACTTTAGTTCGTCTAAAAATTATCTGGGAAGCTTGTTAAAAAAGCAGGCTCCTGTGTCCCATGTCCAGAAATGCTGATTCAGTAAAGCCTGGGAGTAAGACTCAGAACCCTTCATTTGTAACAAGTATCTCAAGCAATACTGATATAGGTGGTCTAGAGAGCACATTATGAGTAATACCGATATAGAAAGAACCACAGGAGACAAGCCAAAGTTAGACACAGGCAAAAATTAAATGCTAGGGAAGCACTGCAAAGAAAGTGGGGAAGTTGAACAACAGAAGAGAGAGAAGTACTAAAAATTAATAGTGGAGCCCAATGTCTGGCTTTATCCCAGGGCTTGCTCTGCCTGCAGGAATTGCTTTAACACAGTTCCTGCCTTCCTGTAACCAATTAGTTCAGCTTTTCCTGAGTTCTGGATCACATATATCCTTAAATTCCTCATTACTTGAGGTAACTTGACTGCAGCCGAAAGATCTAAATAAAATTCATACATCAAAAGTAGTTTCTCTTTTATGAGACGGAAACGTAAAATAACCAAAACATCTGCTCCTGAAATTAAGAATGGGAAACATAAAATCTTCCGACACCTCAGTTTCAAATTAATGTCTCTATCCAAGACCATTATCTCTAAGAGCTTCACCTAGTGATATCAATGACATTTTCCTTCTCTAAAACACTGAATATTGCTGACCACATCCCTCTTACTAAAAACTCCCTTCTTTCAATGCAGCAATATCATTCTTTATAGTCTCCCCATTACTGTATATATATGTTTGCTTTTTAAAAAATAAATTTATTTATTTATTTTTGGCTGCATTGGGTTTTCGTTGCTGCTTGCGGGCTTTCTCTAGTTGTGGCGAGCGGGGGCTACTCTTTGTTGCGGTGCACGGGCTTCTCATTGCGGTGGCTTCTCTTGTGGAGCACGGGCTCTAGGTACGCGGGCTTCAGTAGCTGTGGCTCGCGGGCTCTAGAGCACAGGCTCAGTAGTTGTGGCGCACAGGCTTAGCTGCTCCACAGCATGTGGGATCTTCCTGGATCAGGGCTTGTACCCGTGTCCCCTGCATTGGCAGGTGGATTCTTAACCTCTGTGCCACCAGGGAAGTCATACATATATATATATATAATATAAAAGATATATATATATTATATATAATATATATAATATATATATATTTTATTTTAAAGAAACCCAAGTGGGGAATCTGAGCAAAGGGAAAGTAAGGGTTGCATAATAACAAAATTGTAGATAGGGTAAGTATACAAAAATACATTTAACTGGTCTTATAAAGTTGCTGGAGATGAACAGCAAATCTGACTCTATGCTTATTAGCAGCCAGTCTCAAAGTAGAGGGAAAAACCATTAGTTCAAGCACAGGGTCAATAAGATAAAAAAGAAATCAATTATTTATGAGAATCACTGCTTGTCTTGACACTGAAAACTACTAGAAAGTTTCCATAATTTCTCGTCAAAGGGGTATCGTGCAATGTTGTAGATAATGTTCTCAAAAATAGTCCATAGCAACTACAGTAAATTTTATCTGGCTGAGTTTTTCATGACATGTCTAATAGTGCAAATGTCAAGGAGAAATAGAGTAGAAGCAATTTTATAAAGTCCAAAACTATATACAAGTTTAGGTTTACAGATTTCTGATAGTCTGGTTTAATTTAGGAGTAAAATTTATAAATCTACAGAATGGATAGGATGTTTGTCCTTCAAGCAACTCCTAACAAATATTATGTCTTGTAACTCCTATTAGATTTTGACAAGCAACTCTTCATAAATATTATTTCTTTTACCTTCTGATGACATTTTGGTGAGCAAACAATTTAAGGTAGCATTCCATGGTAAAATAATTTGAGTATAGATACTTTGTGCTGTCAATTTTAAGGGTAGTGGGTAATGTGCCTTCCATTTTTATATCTTGCCTATCCTTTATAGCAAAGCTACTCCAAAGAATTACCCATGTTCAATGTCTTTACTTCCTCACCATGCATTATCTCCCTAATCTATACAATCTGGCTTCTATCCCTTATCATGCCACTGAAATTATTCTTCCTAAATCACTAATTATCTCTGTTTTGCCTCTTAGATATTTAATACCCAACCTCTAACCCTTCCTGTCTTCTGAAACTCTCCCCTCAACTTCCGTGACACAACTCCTTTCCAACTTCTCTGGCAATACCTTTTCAAGCTCCACTTCTTCTTCTACCCCTTAAATTTCTATGTCTCAAGACTCTCTCCATCCTTAGCTCTTTGCTTTTCTTACTTTATATGGTCTCCCTGTGTGATTTCATTTACTTTGTGGACTCACTTATAATTTATAATCATATGATTCTAAATTCTATTTGTAGCCTTTATCTGCCAGCTCCAAACCATACATCCAATAGCGTACCAAGTATTTCCGCCCTATTGTCACACAGACACTGCAAATCTAACATGTTCAAACCTGAAATCATCCTCTCCTCTTCCTCATCCCAATCTGCAACTTCTCTGATATTTCCTCTCCTAATCAGAAATCTGGGCTGTTTCCCAGACTCATTCGTCTCTACATACCCTACATCTAAAAAGTCTGCAAGTCCTGGGACTTCCCTGGTGGCACAGTGGTTAAGAATCCGCCTGCCAATGCAGGGGACTCGGGTTCAATCCCTGGTCCGGGATGATCCCACATGCTATGGAGCAACTAGGCCCATGTGCTACAACTACTGAGCCTGTGCTCTAGAGCCCATGAGCCACAACTACTGAGCCTACGTGCCACAACTACTGAAGCCCCCACACCTAAAGCCTGTGCTCCACAACGAAGAGAAGCCAAAGCAATGAGAAGGCCACGCACTGCAATGAAGAGTAGCTCCCGCTCGCCACAGCTAGAGAAAGCCTGTGTGCAGCAATGAAGACCCAATGCAGCCAAATAAATAAATAAAACTAAGAGAAAAAAAAAAGGCCTTCAAGTCCTGTTACATCTACTTCCTCTATATCCATTGAATCTGCACCATTCCCATTGTCAATGCCTAGGTTCAGGTTCTTGCCATTTGCATGCCTAGGATACTTAAAAAGCCTCATAACTTCCCTGCCTCCAGAATGATCCCCTCTCTGATTTATCCTCCAAACTATTGCCAGAGTTGTCTTCCTTAAAATCTGATTTCAAATCTGTTTAAATCCCTTAATGGTTACGGGAAGACTTCTGCATACATTAACCTCCTTACCTTAGTTTAGGCCCTACTTATTTCTCTAGGCTTGTCTGCTTGTACTTTACACATACCTTCTTTTTTAGTTGTTATACTAAACTATTTATAGTTCCAGGTATATACCTTGCTATTTGATCCCTCTATGCTTTTGTATATGCCTATCCTTCTACCGAGAATATACAAGGCTTAAAAATGCAGATTCTTGGGACTTCCTTGGTGGCGCAGTGGTTAAGAATCTGCCTGCCAATGCAGGGGACATGTGTTCGAGCCCTGGTCTGGGAAGATCCCAGATGCTGTGGAGCAACTAAGCCCGTGTGCCACAACTACTGAGCCTGTGCTCTAGAGTCTGCAAGCCACTGAGCCCGCGTGCCTAGAGCCGTGCTCCACAACAAGAGAAGCCACCGCAGTGAGCAGCCCGCGCACTGCAAAGAAGGGTAGTCCCTGCTCGCTGCAACTAGAGAAAGCCCATGCGCAGCAGCGAAGACCCACAGCAGCCAAACATAAATAAATAAATAAACTTATTTTAAAAAGCTGCAGATTCTTAAAGTTATGAATGACTAGGTTCAAACCCCTTCTCTACCACTGACTTAATCCATCATACCACTGAATGACCAAGAGCAAGTTACTTAAACCTCAATTTTCTCATCTCTAAAATTGAGGTAACACTGTTCACTACCACATACCATTGTTAAGAGAATTAAATGTCAAGTGCTTACTTCAGGGTGTTGCAGATGGTAAGAACTCAACTGACCGGTATTTTATTTATTTATATTTTTACTTAGTTAACGCACACTAAAGCTTCAAGATTCAGCTTAGCATTATCTCTTAAAGAAAACCTGATCCTCTAGATTGGTTTGGATATCCTTTCTTCTTTACTTTTATGACACTCAGAATATCTCTCTAAAAAGTAAGTATTACACTGCATTGATCTGTTTTTCCTCTTTAGACCTCTTAAAACAGCAGTCCCCAACCTTTTTGGCACCAGGGACCCGTCTCGTGGAAGACAATTTTTCCACAGACGAGGAGGGCGGGTTTGTGTGTGTGGGGATGGTTCAGGTGGTAGTGCATACGATGAGGAGTTATGGGGAGCGGCAGATGAAGCTTCGCTCCCTCACCCACCCACCACTCAACTCCTGCTGTGTGGCCCCATAATGGTCCGTGGTCCAGGGGTTGGGGACCCCTGTCTTAAAAGACAGAATTTTTTCCTACTTTGTTTCTCCAATGCCCACCAGAGTGACTGACACATACAGAGCAGATGTACAGTAGCATCTTGCCATGGAACTAAATGAAAAGGCCATTTAGAGCACATCTGATACTCCTACACTAAACTGAAAAGCTTTAACCAGAACAGAACACTTGTATAGTCTAGCCTGGTAGAGTAATCTCCCAGGATTTAACAGCAGTGACCTAGGCACAGAGACATAGTTTCTGAGCCAAATACACAATTTCACAACCATTTTGTTCTGACTGTAGAATCAGGAAGCATCATAAAGTATAAATACAAATCACAGGCAGTCACTTATAAATTGTCTTTTTGGAACTGAACTACATTCTGTATTAAATTCTAAATTACACTGGAAAACCAAAAACATATAATTATTTTGCAGACTAGGTAAAATTACTCGGCAGAAAATTTCCTACATCTTGGTAGATCTCCATCACCAGTCAATTCTCAGTAAGGAAGTTATGGCAA